AATTTATTCCTTCTCCATTTGAAACTATCCCACCCCCTTCGATTTTTCATTAAAAGCCAGGAAAATCCAGCTTTTCATTCATAACTACAATCATCTCTTATCATTTTCACAACATCACGCACATTCAGTACTTCCCACTTTCACAATTTTTATTCTTTTAGTAATTTTTACAGGAAAGGGGTTACTAGTGTACACTCCAAGTATGGTAACCACTATTTCTTCTTTTTAGAGCCTTAACATTTTTGGTCAGAGAGGTTAGGGAAATAATAGTGATCGTGGAATGCTAAATTTTAATTAAGTATATTCATAATCAACAAAAGCAGAGAATATATATTGAAATTATCGTATATAATTAAGAATGCATGTTTAGTTCTATATTATCCCAAATATATATAAGGCTTTTGTAACAGATGATTAGGAGGAGATATAGATAGAACATATTATATTATATATATAAATGGAGATTTAGTTTTTAATGAAATAAAGTCTTGTTTCCCAATTGACAGCCCGTCAGAATTAAACAGAATATGTCAGGCCGGATAATAAACTTTGCAGTTCCAGAGACGTGCTGGGAGTGTTTCGCCTTGGCTGCTGTGCTAATTACTGCTCGTGTCCCTCAAACCTTGAGGAATAACAGGTCTAGTGGGTCTCGTGACGTGACTCACCAACACTTAGTAGAGATGTTGAACATAAAGGGGGGGGCGGGGTGGAGGGGGGGTATACCTTCGACATATGGCTAATAATACACGGGCACACCGGGGCGGCAGGATGTTGCTATACTCCAAATAAAACTTATGGCCATGCTTACATAAATTATAATTCTTAATAAGAATTAGCCTTAATAAATTTTTTTTTTTTTTACAAAGACGTTCATTTCCAATTCCTATTAGTATTAAAAGGAAAATTACCGCAATGTATATTAAAGAATAAAGGTTAACCATAGGGGATGACACTAGCCCATTGTTCGGATTTAGTTGACTTTACAGCACGCTGGCTTTACGGAGGGAAAGATTCTTATTTCCATTTCACATGGATTAAAAGGAGTAATTAAATAAGACCAAGAACTATTAAGATAAAATCAAGAACACTCAGATGTGTTGTATATATAATTGTTGTACATGTATGAGTAGTGTGACTATGTGTAAAGTAGATGTTGCAAGACACTGCCTGTAATCTTGCATATTTGAGACAGACAAAACACCAGCAACCTACCATCAGGTAAAACAATTACAGGCTTTCGTTTTAACTCATTGGCAGGACGGTTAGGACGTACTGGGTGTTGTGTACTACCTACTAACTTAATTTGTTAATGTAAAATTATGATTTGCGCCTAAGAATCTTTGAAAACCTTGCCTAATGTTTTTAACAAGGACAGTTAAATTAGTGTAATGAGTAATTATTTCAATAAAGTTTTACAATAATTTAATGACCCCAAACATAATGAAAGTATTTTCTCATTAGGTTCGGTCTGATTTTTGTGGAGAATTATTGCATATAAAATTTTCACTTGCTTTATTTGGCAAGAGCATTGCTATTTAAGTCAAAATTGCCAAATTTTATTAGTTGCCATGACAGACACATTCTAAAAGCTATGTATATGTGTTAAAAGTGTAAGTGTAGCAATATGTACCTGTAACTTTGCATTTGACAGACCCAGCAATCGTAAACCCCTGTTGTGTAAAATAATTAAGTTTGTGGCTTGTACGGCATTGGTGGAACTTGTCTACAAGCTAGCAAACCTATAGCTGTCAGGAAGTGCAGGAACTGCTTTCGATTTTCGTCACATGCATCTATCAGCCAGTCGTTTAAGAGTGGAGGTGGTTGTACTGTGTGTACTGTGTAGTGTATGTGGCTGCTATGAGAAGGCAACAAAGCCTCATTAGCAATTGAACTATGTGTGGCACATTACCATCATTATGAAGATAATCGTGAATCTGAGGCAAGGGAGATGGGGGCTGACCAAAAATGAACCTTGCAAGTAACTATAGTTTTCTTCATTTGGGCGGAGCTTTATGTCTTGAAGGGCTGTTGATCCAAAGATTGAAATTTTCTGTTGAACAGATTGACTTTTTATTTTCCATTCTCATTGTTGAAGAAACGGGGTCTATACAGACGTCTTCTGGCTATTTTTAACTTTGTTGAAGAGTTTACTTTAGTTAAATGTGTTAATTTATAAATAAAGTATTGACATATTATAATTGTTTGCTTGAGTCTCTTTTTGTTCAATAGCATTCATTTTTTTATCACTCCTTTAACTTTATTTCAAATGCAGTTGCCATAGAACCTTTGTCTTCCTTTGCGTTTGCTAAAGTTTCCGCGGTCTTGACAAAGGATGTGTTCTGCAGGTGGTTTCAACTGTCACTAATGGCATGGGGGGAGAGGTTCTGTATTCAGGGAGGAGGCTCAGTAGCTATAAATAAGGAGGAGCAGGAGATGTAGCATGTTAAAGGTCGTTGGGTGAAAGTACATTATGAGGGGGCAGGTTTGGGCAGTAATAGGAGAACACGTTGAAGGGTGTTGTGTTAAAATGGCCGCATTTTAGAGGGTTCTGATGCTATGTATATTGGTAGAAGGAGGGGTGTGAGGAGTCTGAAAAGGTACAGATGTTTGTAGGGAATAATTTGTCACTTTGAGATCAGGCGAAAGGTCCTTGATGTGGATGGATGACTTGCGCAGGACTTTGCCAGGGTGTAAAGGTAGAAGAGAAAGAATGTAGAGTAAATATTTTTGGTTAAACTGATTAATGTTTTGAGTTCCTTTATTCAATCTTGCTTTTCTCCGTCCCCTACACGTCCCCCTTATTAACATATTAATATAGTAAATTTGTTAATGAAAAATTTACATACAAAATTTAGGCATTTGAAGGAAGTAAATGAAGAGTAATTCCTGTATATTGATTATTTTGGTTTATTAAAACTAGTGAGAATATTTACTGAAGATGTGTGCAGTTGAATAACTTTGATTTGTGTTTCAGGTTGGAGTTGCAGTTTGTGGGTGGGTCATTTTGTGGTGCATGTACTAGTCGTGGGAGTGCACTGGCTTTCATCCCAGCCTGTGTAGCACCTCAAACCAGCAGTACTTGAACACCATCTACTCTTGACTTGTGTGACGTGCAGCTTGTAGATTATGTACTGTTTAGTAGCATGGCTGATATAGCAGCAACAAAAATCTTAAGATGCCAACTCGATTTTTGCCGCTGCTACACACCCGCCCTGGAGAAGGTGGTCGTACGTCTGAGGCCAGAGGCAGCTGGTGTTGACCAAGAATGAACCTTGCAGGTAACTATAGTTTTGTTACCACTGGAGGAACCTTGAAAGATGAAAGTGTATGTTAGAAAGTGATGGTGTATTCAGTAATGAGGAGGGTGATTTTCTAATATTAGGATGGTGTGTGAAGCATTAGGGGAAAATAATGACAATGTAGTGCTAAACAAAAGGCTATAGTGCAGTGGGGAAATATAAAGTACCATGGGGGTGAGTGGACTATATGTGAGTTAAAGGGTCTCTGTGAGGAGGGCAATGTGAAATTTGTATGAAGTGAATTTGATAGTACTGTATACCAGGGTTAAGGAGTTATGAGGGAGAAAAGTGAGAGATTTGACATAATTTGTTTTGTAAAGTTTAAGAATTTTGTATTCCGTCATGTCAGTTGGCAATTTAAGAATTTTAGTTTAGAAGAATTAGTTTATGAAAAATGATTTTGCTAAGTTGTGTATTGTAGTTGATTAATTGAGAATGTATTGTTCTGGTGTTGAGAGAGAAGTGTATGGTGTGAGGGAGAATTCAAGCAGTCATTGAAGTAGAAACAGATGGTGACTGAAAATGTCGGCAGAGTATTGTCTAGAATTTATGTGGCCAGTCGTACTGCCTGGTTGCTGAGGACCCTGGTCAACCATGCGGGCCAGGTGTCAAGATGTGGGTGTGGTGACCCTCAAATCCACTCAGGTATGCCTCAGAGTTGGCAGTGACATTGTATATCCTATTGGGTTTAGTGTTAATATAAATGTGAATAATTTAACATTTAAATGTTAGGGGCAGTATTTAATTTCCCTCATTTTGAATGAATATTAAAGAACAGTATGTGGACAATCTTCAACTTGGGAATTTGTTGGTTTTGTTTAGAAAACTTCCTTGAAAGGTGTTGCATGACCCTATGGGTATAGTGGTAGCACCTGATGAGAAAAAAAGTAATGGACTGAAATGTATTAGGTTGAAAATCTAAGAAAATGATACGGTCCTCTACTGCCTTAGTAAAACTACATAGCTATCGATTTAGCGGATGCTTGCGTCACCTTCATGGAGGGACGATGACATGTCCTCTACATGCCATTAGTACACTAGGTGGTCCTTTGCCCTTATACACTAGGTTATTGATATGAGCTGTATAGCCTTGTGGCTTAGGCTTCCTTGTGTATAATATCAATTTTGAATCCTGACAAGAAGATTCAGAGTTCTAATTATCGTTCAATTCCTTGTATTAAACATAACGAGAGTCTTCACATACAACAATGAATCCCCTCAAGTAGTAAATTTAATTTTTGAACATGGGTTTAGCACTCTTATAATTTTCAGTAAACTTTACTTCATACTTAGGTCATGTTGACTTACTCAAACATCCTGCTGCCTCCCATGTAAACAATCCAGCATGAACATGCCATTCCAAAAACCTAATTATTAATTGAGCTTTTAAATTCATAGCTCTTCTGAACCCTTGTGGTTTAGTGTTTTTTTTTTATCAACTTGTAGGGTTCATATAGGACATGGTAAATGAAAGGCAATCAAGTTGGATCCCTGCCTTGCTGCACTATGACCCTTATAAGTTTAGCTGTTCTTTTTTTATATTTCTATATGTACAAGGTATACAGGTCATACTATATAGAAAGCACATTGTTATGAAAAGCTTTTCAGAAAAGTGTCAGTTTCATCCCAGGATGTGATCCACACCAGTTGACTTAACACCCACATACACATTTTATACTGATGGGTGAACATGACAGCTGGTGTATGGAAACTTGCCCAATGTTTCATTCAACCCTCTCTGGGAATTGAAGTCAAGAATTGTGTGTGAATGATAAGGCTTCAGAGGCATATTACTTTATTGGGGTCCTGTACACAAGGATTCTGTTAATTTAGCCAAGATGACCATGCCCATGAGTGAGTGACAGGTTTGGAACTAGGCATGTCGGCTGTCCTCAACTGTAGGAACAGGGCACAATAAAAACATACATGGACCAAAAAAAAAAAAAGTACAGGGAGCAAATATAAAGGGGGAAGGTGTATTAAAACAACGTGGTCCAAGGCAATGAGCCTGGGAGGGACATTGTATGACAAGAAGAAGAAGAAGAAGAAGAAGAAGAAGAAGAAGAAGAAGAAATAATTTAGTCACATCAGTATATTCTGAGATATCTTTGAGTGTTCCGAATTTCAGAGATGATGTATGGTAGACTATTGAAGGAAGAGGATATGTAAAGACTGGAACAGCAATTGACTACAAAAGTGGGAGGAGGAGGGCAGAAGAGGTCTTAAACTTGGGAAGGAGGCATAGTATGAGGAGGGTGAACCTCAACACTTGTAACAGAGCCAATGAGAGGGAAAGAACCAGGTACAGACTGAAAAGTTAAATGTGGAGGTGGAAGGAGGGGTTAAAGGACATTGGAGCAATGTGTACTTTTTTTGGACCTCTGAGAAATAAAGGAGCAATTGGGACGAGATGTCATGAAGTCTTGTCGATACTGGGACTTGTGAGGGAGAACGTGAAGAAGTGAGGTAGGGACTTCTGAGTCTAGGACAGCAAAAGAATTATTGACAGGAGTGACTATGGGAGGCATAACCACAGAGAAGGCTACACAAGATAGGACCCCAGAAGTAGGGGGATGTTTAGAAACACGAGAATAAGAAAGACTGGGGTATTCCCCCTTGGAGGCATTGATGAGAAACTGCCATAGCATAGAGGAAACCTTCTGCCTCTTTGAGGAAATGGATTTCTTGCTCATTTAAGTAGGCTTGGCTACAGTAAGAGTAAGAAGGGTGAGCCTTGTGACAAGGCAGAATGACAGTACCACTACAAGAATTGAGGGAATGATGTTTTTTGATAGTGACAGGAATAGTATCAATATGTGAAAGAAAGATCATGAACTCAGGTAGCATTCTGGACAGTAATGATGCATGTACCACTCAAGAGAATGAAAAGATACATCTCTACCAACATGGCTTGGGATTGCCTTGCCAATACTATGGTTGGAAAGATAGGCAATAGAGGAAGTAGGTCGTGAAATAAAAAATTTAGTCCATTGTGCATTCCGAAACTGAGCATGGAAAGGGAGTGCATTATGTGTCGGTCTTTTCTGAGTAGAATGAGAAGGCAGAGAAGAAAAATCATCAGGGGAATTGTCATTGGCATTTAGGAGTGGGACTGGAATTGGTCTGCCTTGGAACAGGCTGGCGATTCGAAAATTGCTACAATGTAGAGTGAGAGGGCGGAAGCATAGTCAAAGGACAGCGGAGGTCAGACAAATCGAAAGAGTCAGTCGAAACACCGGTACCTGAAGCGAGTGATGAAACAGCACCAGCAAGAGGTACAGGGGCATTAGAAGTGTCAAAAAAGTGGTCACAGAATGAGGCAGGGTCAGAACAGGGTGTGGTACCAGGAAGCAGCCCGGGGGTATCAGGTTCATGGACTGGGTCTGCCATGGTTAGGTTACTTTTCTTTTTGTTTTTAAGAATAAAAAAATAAGGGGGGGGGGACGAGGAGGAATAGCTCCTAGGACGAATGAAAGGTCCGTAAATCTCCCCCCCGTGCCCAAGAGGACCTCAGCACCGCAAGTAGTGCAGATGCAGCATGGAACCCGTGCCATACCCTACCCTTCATGCCAGTAAACCAGCAATCCAGAATAGCCACCTCAGTGGACAAGATACCCACCACAAAGCATACCTCCTTTGGCCACCACCCCCAGAATCCAAAAGGCAGCCTCCACAGATATATCCAAAAGATGCACAAACCCACCCTCCACCCACCCAATCCAGATTCCACGGCAAACTACATCACCACCAAGAACCTCAACGGAATGGGATGGACCACGGTACCCTTCTCCCTACCTAGGAACTAGATTGCCTGTGGGAAGAATCCCAAAGGCCAAAAAGAGAAAGGGAATAGGGGAGGGGTAGGGAGGAGGAAATGGAAAAAGAGAGGATGGGATAGGGTAGGGGGGATTGGAGGGTAATTAGGTTCAGTCTGAGGAAGGAGACCAAAAGCTCTAATACCTCAGACCCTTAAACTGTAAATTTGTCTATTTGTATTTGTACATATATTTGGGACAAGCTTACCACACTAGTAGTTTCTGTTTGGGTGTTTGATAAGGGCAACTAAAACCCCATCAGTTTATGAATCCAGTCAGAGGATACCTTATTTTTCAACGAATCCGTTTGAATCCAGTAAATGGTTTGCTTATTTCTTGGACGAATCCGGTCAATGCATCACTCACTTTGAAAGTACCCAGTCGGTGGTTTTGGACTAGCTCATCAAGGGACTACAGTGGACCCCCGGTTTGCAATGTTATCGGTATCCGATAAATCTGGTATGCGATGCATTATATCGTAAAAAATTTGCCTCGGTTCCCGTTACAAAACCCGGTATACGCGATTCGTCAGACATGTCCACGTGTGGCCTGAACTGCCCCGTGTGTGCCAGTGTTTACAAGTCGGCCAGTGTGCTCACATCTAAGGATATATTCGGTACATTCCATATTACCAGTGTTTTTAGTGCTTATTTCTGCAAAGTAAGTCACCATGGGCCCCAAGAAAGCTTCTAGTGCTAACCCTTCGAGACCAAGGGTGCTAATTACTATTGAAATGAAGAAAGAGATAATTGCAAAGTACAAAAGTGGAGTATGTGTGTTGGAGCTGGCCACATTGTATACAAAACCCCAACTATCTCTACTATAGTGACCAGGAAAATGGCAATCAAGGAAGCTGTTCTTGCTAAAGGTGCAACTGTAATTACGAAACAGCGACCGCAATTGTTAGAAAATGTTGAGAGACTGTTATTGGTGTGGATAAATAAAAAACAGATAGCATCTCTCAAGCGATCATTTGTGAAAAGACTAAGAAGTTGCATGACGATTTGGTAAAGAAATTGCCTGCAACTAGTGCTGATGTGAGTGAATTTAAGGCCAGCAAAGGTTGGTTTCAAAGATTTAAGAATCATATTGGCATACATAGTGTGATTAGGCAGGGTGATGCTGCCAGTTCAGACCAAAAAGCAGCAGAAAAATATGTGAAGGAATTCAAGGATATACACAGTAAAGACTTGAAACCTGAACAAGTGTTTAATTGCAACGAAACAGGCCTGTTTTGGAAGAAATTGCAAAGCACGACCTCTTCAAGGGGGGCTCCTTGGCGTGGTGAAGAGGCTCTTGGTCTGAGGAATTAGCCCTGTCGGTCTTCTTCCTCAGACCGAACCTAATTACCCCCCATTCTCCCCTCCCCTATCCCATCCTCCCCATCCTCCCCTTTTTCCATTCCTCCTCTCCTCCTCACCCCTCCCTTTTGCCTTCTCTTTTTAGCCTTCGTGATTTCTCCCAAGGCGGCTAGTTTCCTGGTAGGGGAAAGGGAGACACGGGGTCGATCCCATTACGTGGGTTTCTTGGCGTGGCGTAGTTTGCCGTGGAATCTGGTTTGCCTAGGGATGTCCCGATCCCTCTCCGGTATCCGGAGTAGCTTTGGGTGTCTTTTGGGCGACGGGTGTATTCTGGAACGCCACCTTTCGGATTCGAGGTTGAGTGGCCTGAAGGGAGGTATGCTTTGTGGCGGATATCGCCGCCCTTCTTTTTTCCACCGAGTAGCTCGGCAGATGTTGAGGTTGCTATCCCGGATTGCTGGTTTACTGGGCATGAAGCGGTTGGTAGGCACCGGGTTTCATGATGCATTCTGCGCTACTAGCGGGTCGGAGTCCTCTTGGGCGCGGAGGGAGATTTCCAGCCCTATTCATTCCTCTGGGAACTATTCCTCCCCGCTCCCCCTTTTTTTATCTTTTTTTTGTTTTTATTTTCTTTTCTTCTTTCTTTTTTTTTCTTAAAAAACAAAAAGAAAAGGAGTAACCTAACCATGGCAGCCCTAGTCCATGAAACACTAACCCCGGGCCCACACATTCTTGATTACCGCACCCCATTCTGAACCTTGCCTTGTGTTTAGCCCACTCTTCGGACACTCCTGATGCCCCTGTACCTTTGCTGGTGCTGTTTCCTCACCCGCTTCAGGTACCGGGCTTCGACTGACTCCTTCGACATTTGTCTTGAACTCCGCTCTCCTCTTGACTATGCTTACGGCTTCCTCCCTCCTACGGTTACGGCAATTTTCGAATCGCCCACCCTTTCATGCCGACCATACTCGGGTCCTACTCTAAACCCCCAAACGTCCAATCTCCTGATGATGCTCGTCGTTACCTTCCCATTCTAACTCGGAAACGGACCGACACGTCAAGCCACAACAAAATCCTTTCCACGCTCAATCTTCGGACACACAATGGACTAAAAATCTTTACTTTAGCCCAACTTCTTCTTTGCCTACCTTTCTGACCATAGTATTGCCAAGCGCTCCTGCGTCATGTTGGCAGAGATATTTCATTTCACGCTATCAAGAGCGGTAACGCGCATCGTCACTGTCCAGAATGTACCCAAGCTCATGATATTTCTCTCCTTTCGATAGGCGATACTTACTCCTATCACTATGAAAAACATCTTTCTCCAATTCTTGTAGTGGTAATGTCATTCTGCCCCATACCATAGTCCAACAGAATTTCCGTCATGTGGCAATGACATTTTTGAAATACAGCTGTGAACTTCCCAGGATCTCCCAATCCTCAAAGTAGACACTTATGACCTTCCTGCCGGGGGCGGAGACGTTACCCTTGCAATGTGGCTCGTTTAACTTTTGACAGCCGAGAACTCCCGTCCTCTGTATATGTCGCGGGAATCGGTTACAAGTTGAAAGGTGATTAACCTACACCGCAACAAGTAGAAAATTGCTGGCGTTTTGGTCCCAACAGCGAAATCATTGCAGATCTATGCCGAATGCCCAGTCTGTGGTGCCGATCGACCATCTAATACATCTTGCGTCAACTCCATCTTGCCTTAATTGTAATGAAGCTCCCTTCGTACTCGACGTTGCAGGTTACTTAAATGAACGTGATAAATCCGTTG